GTAATAACGAAACTTCCGATAGAAAAGTAACGAATTGTAGCCCTTATTTTACTGCCTGACAATGTATCAATAATCTTGAAACTAAAAGGTCATATAAAAGGAAGGTTAATCTCAAGAATTCTTAAGTTTTTAAAAACTCTATCGAGCGGTTTGAAAATTATTCGCTTATTTGTAAAAGAAGACTAGAATGTTTACAAAACCGCTCAGAAGAGTGCTTCGATACATACTGATCAAACCCTTCTTTCTAGCAGTCGGCTGGAGCTATCTCCATGATCTTTCACACACGTTTTTAAAAAGAATGAAACTACTATGAGGAGAAAATGAATGTCAAAAGTTCTTCGTCTTCTACAAACAACGGCCAAACATCAAGATTGTCCATTTTTTACTGTGTTTCTAACCATAGAAACTTCATCCCAAAATATCTCGAAAACGCTCTTACAGATTTCGCTTAAACTTCACGAACGTCGAGGCCGCTATTGGAGGAAAACGCTCCCGTGAACGATTTTGGAAGAACAGTTCCCAGTGCCGAGAAATACTGCTGCAAGTAAAATAGGTAACAACGTCATTTCTTTGCTATGACAACTCCGATGTTGTTGCAACCCTGATCATAACGAATTTTCATCTTTATCTAATACAACTGTGGTGGCAGTTTTTCCAAAACTTTGTTTATGGCGACGTAGTTTATGCTCAAACTTGGGAGGTATTGGCCTTGAAAAACTGTATCGAGCCACCTTAACGTATGGGCGTTATTTGAAAAAGAGAAAATCCGTTCCATAAAGTTCTAGACTTGATACTATGTCTTTGTGGAACTCTTCTGGCTTGTCTACGCCGTAAAATCTAGAGAAAAAGCAGATAGCAAGGCACAAGGTTCCCTCTCCGATTAAAATGCACCATTATGCTTGGCTTGTTTGCGAAACGCGCAAAAATTCCATTGTGCGACCCAGAAACATCGCTGACGACCGCGCACCTCTTGTCTTTGAGGCGTTCGAGACGATCATATGGAAACCACCAATCGTGCCAGTCGTCCGGATCGTCTCGAAATTTTTTGAAACGACTAGGGCGATCGAGACGATCATATGGAAACAAGGCTTAAAATCCAGTCTTGGCATCGATGCTTAGGGGAATAAAACAAAAATTGTAAATTGTAATTGTAATTTGTTAAAGGAGCTATGTCACACACTGCGCATGTGCGCGAAGAAGCGTTACATCTTGAAAACGTTCGCCAACTTTTTCAAGTTCTGCGGGTGATTCAATATCAAGAGTTTATCGTTTTTTATCTCAGCCATCCGTTAACAGTTCGCATAGTCAGACGTTCGTTAGTATTTCACAGCCCTCTTAGAAGGTTCCTGTGTGTTTTTGTTTCAATTACTCTGATCAACGGCTTATTTGAGGTCAACTGTTTGGAGGTAACAAAATGTCCTCTCATGGAGGCCGCCGATCAGGAAGCGGCCGGAAGAAAATCTTCGCCAGCGAGTCAGCGAGGCTTCAGTTTTGGCGAAAGACTCATAAAAGGATTTCGTTGGATGGAACAATTTTTTCATCTTGGGTTTCTGCGAGGATCAAGTGCGGATATGACAACGATTCCATGTTTGCTGCCCATCTTTTATCGCTCGAGAGAAGAAGAAGGTACCTGCATAAAATGTCTGTTCAGTCTGTCTGCTAGCGGTCTAATTTTGAGTTAATCAGTTGTTTTGAATGTATGTATCTATTTTCTTTTATAGGGAGATTGCATCAACCGTTTGTAAAAAAAGAGGGGCATCGTCCATAAACCTTCCTTCCTCAAAACGACGCCATATTGAAGGTGAGACTTCAGCTGTACTTGATTCTAGATTGAATAAATGTCTTCACAGTACTAAATATTACTAGTCCTAAAACTGAAAGGCCCAAAAAAGATCAATAAATATCTGTACTCCCACATTCTACGGTATTCTATAAGACTGAAGTATATTCCTCTCTTATGAAGGGCCACTGTTGTCATCCACTCCTTTGCAAGCATTATCTGTACCAGCACAAGAAAAAATGGATTATTCTGTTGTCAGTGTAGGCAATGATGATTCGAGGCGAGTAAGCATTTAATTCTTGTTTTGAATAACTTCCTAATGCGGCCTGAAAACTGGGTCTATAAGGGAACTTCTATAAACAAGTGGTATGAGTTACATTTATAGTTGTTTGCATCCTTGCTGGTTCAAAGTTGTTTATTTTATCTCCTGTTTAGTGATGTGGATGTGGATGTAACAGGAATTGCTGTTTCAGAGCTGTCAACTCATAATGTTAGCTACCGTGTTCTAAATGACTCAGTTATAACCATTGATGATGCAGACAAGTACCAGGATACTGATGAGTCCACACACACTGACTCATCAGACAGTGAAAGTGATTGTATGGAAAGAAATTCACAGTATGTATTGATTTTGGTTATTGTTTATTTGTAATGTGGCACTTATTTTGTTTCGACTTTGTAAGAAATCCACGATAAAGTTTTTCTATTCTGTCTCAAGTA